CAAGGACTACAGGGTAAAATAAATTGACTCACACGAAATGTGATGGCTGTATTATTTTGGGTTTCAAAATCAAACCCATGTAACATTCACAAATTGTTATTTATTCAGGGCTTTCTGTGAGCAGTACTTTTTTTTTATGGGCATGTCCAAAGTCAGAAAAAAAAAATTACAGGTAGTACCAATCTTTTGGTGGTAATCAAGTGCGATTGGACAAGTGAGGTCACAGATTTTGTTGTCCCAAAAGTTTTTCATCCATGGATGACATTTGGATGGCCCAATATTTCTGTATGGTGTAAAGGCTAGGCAAATGGAGTATCTAGTGCAGGAAGAGATTTATAACTTACTGTTACAATACTCCTGGATGCCCAAATCTGGTATGACTGCTGGTGGTGTGAACTACAAAACATGTACACAGATTTATTTACCCAATGTTCATTTGCTTCACCTGGAATTTTGAGCTATTACTTGACAGCAACTTTACATTTAATAGTTAGTGTGCACATGTTTTTTTGTTGTTGTAAAAATAAAATTATTTTGTTTTAGCTTTTAAGGTCAGGAGTGACTGTGAAGGATTCACCCGCATTACCTACAAGACCAGGGAGAAAATGTTAGTATGTGTCTCCTTCTTGAAACATAAGAGTGTATTTTGGGCACAAGCAGCTAGGGTTAAAATTACCTTGAGAAGGGATAGATAAGACCATTCTTAGTTTTCAGATGAGAAGTTTAGAACCATGACCTGTATTTCACAAAATTAATAGTACCATTTGTTAGTTGATGTTTTTCCACATAGTCTTCATTGCTAAGCAAATATTTTCTTCACTCCAATGAAGGGCTAACGCTCGAAACGTCAGCTTTTGTAATAGTTACGGTGGCCCATTTACCATTTCAACTTTGTTGATGATATCCAAATTATTTCGTTACTCCCACCGGTGCAGCCCCAAACAGTTTCTTTCAAAACTATCAGCCTTTATTATTTTCTTAACAGCTTTAGAGAGGAGGCTGGTGCCATGGATTGCTGACAGTGAAGTGAAGTCTTGCCCTCTTTGCAAGAAGCAGTTTAATCTGGCTCGACGCCGGCATCACTGTCGACTGTGTGGGGGAATAATGTGTGCAAAGTGCTCAGTGTTTGTGTCTGTCTCTTTTTCAGGTAAGAAACTTTGTTTTAATTAAATTAAAAAATTATCTTCTTTGCATCCAGACTATGTTATAGAATATTAATATTATCTTTGATTTATAGTTTCTGTGTTAAAACTGGACCAAACAGGCTCAAGCCTTCCAAGGAGGTTAAAGGGGCGCTCCAAAGATGATTCTGATGAAGCTGGGATTCGTGCTTGTCAAGCCTGTATGGATTGTTTAGAGAGGTACACTACAGTTGAACTTTGTTATTTTATGTGCTAAAAAAGCAACAAAAAGAAAGTCAATGGTTAGTTCATGACACTCAGTAACAAACCATTCCCTTATACATTTCCTTCAAAACAGTTTTTTTAATGCATCCTACAAATGTGTAAATTCAAACCAGCTTTAACTTGTGTCAAGAAAACAAACCTGTGGGAGGGAGATGTGATTGCTCTTCCTTTGTTTAATGTGGTACAGACTCTCTTAGATCTAATTCATTTATCATACATTTTAGCAAAGCCAAAATCTTTGGTACTTAAATACAAAAAATGCAGCTGACTTAAAATGGGTGACTTAAAATTTGCAGCTGGCAACAATTTTTTCAACTCAATGACCTTTTTAAAGTTGGAGTTTTTATGCGAATTTGTTTTTAAAATGTAATATGTGTATGATTTTTTCTCAAAGATATGATCGACAAGAAAAAGAAAAGAAAACAAAGCCGCCGGCTGTTCAATTGTATGAGGTAATAAAAGGCATTGCTAGCGATCAAGTCATTCATAGAACTTTTTATCTATGAATTATATAAAGTTTTGTCATCACATACAGTACATTAACCTTATGATATATCTTTAACTTGATGTTTTTTTTTAATCTAGGAAAAAAGATAGGCTGCTGTTAGATTTTCATTCATCCCTATTCACTATTATTATTAATATTATTGTAATTTTTTTATCTAATGCACCTTCAATAAAGCTCCACCAAACCTCTCCCTTAGACAATTTTTTAACTCTTTAACTGCTGAGATCTGTTTGTCAATTCTCCCCTCTAACTGCTACACATTTCCTCTTGAATCAGTTATGAGAATTTGGTGCTAGATCAATTTAATAACCCCTTCCTGATAAGTTTGTGGAGGCGTGGTGGCCTCATGGTTAGTGCGCTTGACTCCGGATCGAGTGGTCCAGGTTCGAGCCCCGGGCCGAGACATTGTGTTGTGTTCTTAGGCAAGACACTTTACTCTCACAGTGCCTCTCTTCACCCAGGTGTTTAAATGGGTACCGGCAATTATTTTATTGCTGGGGGTAACCCTGCGATGGACTGGCATCCCATCCAGGGGGGAGTAGAAATACTCCTAGTTGCTTCATGCTACAGAAACCGGAGTTAAGCACCGGCCTAATGGGCCACTAGGCTTGTAAACAGACTTTACTTTACTACTTACTTTACCTGATAAGTTTGAGTATTCTCATTACCCAGATGCTGGATATTGTTTGGGTATTGTAGAGAGAAGTTACTTAGTAACCACTTTTGGGAGTTTAAGGGTTAAGCCATGATTATTACTTCCTTTCTTGCAGAAAATGAAGAGCTCTATGACAGAGGCAGAATTGCTTCAACCCACTTATACCAAAATGGCTGATTCAATTAAGTGGGTATTGTTTAAAATTTCCTAAACTTTTTTGATAGTTCATGACAACCTTTAAGTTCAGTTTATAACATTTGAGACTCTGAGCAATCCTCCCTTTTCTGATAAAGCCCATTGCACAAGTTAAAAAAAAAAAANGATTGATTTCATAATTTTATTCTGTTCCCTTTTTCTGTAGTAAAAAGATAGCAGCTTTGGGAACTCAGGCTGAGAAACCACTAAGTCCCCAGGCAATGAAACTCCAAAGAGGCATAAGAGCTTTTGCTACAGGATACCTACAAGAGAACATGTTCACACTTCCAAATCTGCCACCCGTGGACAAAATTAGTAAACTTCAAGAAGAGAGGGCAAAAGCTTTGGCCAGAAAAGCAGCAGAAGAGAAGGCACAAAGAGAACGAGCCATGCAAGAAAGGTTACGCGCAGCAAAAGTGCGGCAACAAGGACATGGAGACCTTAATAGAAATGAGCCTTCAGGCAAGCTTAAGACTGCCCAGCAGACCCCAGAGTCTGTTGTAGGAAATGGGTGGGGCCCAGTCCCCATCACTCAAGGCTCCTCCCCAGACCCCATGCTGCAGCAGATGGATATTATCAAAAGTTACATAGTGCAAGCTAGACAACAGAAGAAGTATGATGAAGTTGAAATGCTCGAGAGAAACTTAATGGAACTCGAGGAGGAGTACTTTCGGCAGCATCAAGGAAGATAGCAAATTATAAGCATCCTTTGGAATACATGACATTAGTATTTTTTGAAGGGGATGATTAATTTTTGTATGTGGGCAGCAATTATTTTCAAAGAATCTAATAATTAAATTAGTTTCTTTCTGTTTTTAAGGAAAAGTAATCTTGTAAAATAAATATAAATTTTTGAAGATAACCAGATCTTTGCAATTGTTTGCAGTTGTGTACTAGTGAGTTCACAGGCGGCCCAAGCTCTCTTTGAGAACCACACATGGAACACAATTTGCATATCGATTTATAAGGATTTGTATGGGATTTTCTACAAGATATCCATAGAGATAGTTAAAAGTGAAAATATTAAAGAAAAATGGCTTACCTTATTCCATACGTGTGTTGCTTGCTCCTGGTGTCGCTATTCCACACGTATGGAATAAGGTAAGTCATTTTTATTTAATWTTTTCACTTTTAACTATCTCTATGGATATCTTGTAGAAAATCCCATACAAATCCTTATAAATCGATATGCAAATTGTGTTCCTTGTGTGGTTCTCAAAGAGAGCTTGGGCCCCCTGTGGAGAGCTATGATAATATTTTCAATTTATCTTAAAATCATATGACCACCTAGAATATAATGATATGCAAGAGCACATGTTCATGTGAAAAACACAGACAGCTTCACTGGGTTGGCCTCAAATATTGCCACATTTGTGACACAGTGTCACACAATACTCCATGAATGGATACAGGCGGTCAATGTATATTTTCTGTAAAAAAAGGTACCAAATAAATGTAAAACAATGAAAAGTTAAATACAGTTTATTTTGTAAATTAAGGAACAAAGTGTTACACCCTGATTTTGAAAATGTTTGATCACTTCTTAGGATTGTGTATATGGTGTGCATTTAAGTTTTTTCCTGGCTTAAAATATTTTTACTTTGATTTCCCTTTGTCTTGTAGCTACTCATATTTCCTTGATCTGAGAAGATGGAAGATTAATATTACTCTGGTTTGAAAAATATCAAACTAATGATAAATTTGAACTTCAGCTTTCACCAAAACATATTATACAAACAAGAAAAATATTAGTTTCCGAAGACGAAATCAAGTTATCCTGCTGAAGCTTCCTCTTTGAGTTGCCAGAATTTTGGTTTCTTTGCCTCAGGATGTGGAACAATGGCTGTGCATGGCCTCTGTCCTGGCTTCTGACAGATACAGTAGCAATGTCCAAACCGGCCAAAGTTTGCAGGGTTCAAACGGCCAGGATATTTTTCCTTTACACTGTCTTTTTGCTCCCTAAAATTAATTGTAGCAAAAATAATTGAATACTTTTAATTTGCATGCTTTGTTTTAGGCCAAAATCTGCTTAGGTTCAGATAAAAAATGTCTATTTTTACAATAAAATAATATGAACATTTGTATCATTACTCACATTTCTGTGGCTCCAGCCACTTTACCAAACATCTCTAAAATCTCGGGTCCAGTTTTACTGTCCACATCCATTGCCACCTTTTTTCCATTGCCTGAAGTCAATCAGCCATAAATAGATATGTTGGAATAGAAAGTTATTCTTTTGCTTCCTCCCACCCACCACTTTAAGAAACCATACACCCCCCCCTCAGGCTCGAAGGTAACAAGTTCTTCTATGATAATATGTTTCAACCCTTCTCCCCCCCACCCCTCCCCCATGTTACAAAGATTACTGGGTAAACATTGGCAAGCCAGCCTTCACATCACTTTTTTGGACCCTTCAATTTCCATGGGTGACCAAAACAAAATTTCTCCTTGCATATCAATAGACCTTATTAAGTGGACAAGTGATGAGAATATTGGGAATTCATAGTTGATGACTTGATCCAATACCAAACTGTGCACTTGCCCAAAAATTACTAAATGAAGGTAAATCTGATACACTGCGAACTGAGAATTGGGATGCTACAAAAATGCATGTAATCCCAAAAGTGATTAACATGTAACTTCTCCTAATAATATCCATACATTATCCAGCAATCATTATTTTAATGAGATTTACTCTAACTTATCAGGTTAAAGTTTTTTTCTCGATCTAACATCAATTTCCCAGAACTAGTTAACAAGGAAATGTGTAGCAGCTAAAGGGAAGAAAAAACAATTACATTTTGGAAGGTAAAGGCTATAGTTATTGTAAAATTTTTCAGGTGTTTAATTTCTAACTATGATCCAATAACGTTATGCTCGATACCTACCAAAAAATATATGCACCACTGGATAGCTTAATCTGTTTCTCGTTGTCATGATCTGGACAGTGCGATTCTTGTACTGAATTTGAGGAACATCTTTGTAAATGAAATTTCTGAGGCCAAGACTTTCTTGTTTAGTAGTATAATTTAACAGCACGTTCTTCACATCCGATTTTAATATCAACTTTCCCGAGTTGAGGTATTCAAATGTGCGACGGAATGGAAACCTTCCAGTTGGCATATTAGACAATTAATTCTTCCCAAATTCGATTTTCACAAGTCAAACTATTCTCAACATTCTGACTCTACAACTCTTCCAACATCTTAGAATACACGATGCTTCAGCGGTCACTCAACAGATGTAAGTTTTACATGACAGGTAATTTTTAAAGAGAGCATGCCGCTGAACATTATTAAGCAGAAATTCAACATGGCCGCCAAGAGTCCCGAACTTTACCGCGAAGCGTTAAAGTATATGAACATTCATAGCGGTAAGATTGGAAGATACGCTGTACAGAAAACAATCGAGCATTTGAAAAGGTGCAATGTTGTATTAGATCAGAATGTTAAGGAAATGAGGATCAACATTCCAAAGCCTGAGCCAAGAGGTGCAGAGTAAGTCAAATTATCAAGATACGTTGAATTGCCTGGATTTCGAGGGATTCTTGCCTCTAATCCTCGGTATCCTAAGGTGATTGTAGGTATTTAAGATAGCTCTCGTCTTAATTTCTTTTGCAGACGGTTCTTCTATGAGAACGTTCCACAGCTGAAGTTTAAAAATCCCCATGTTGAATTTTCAGGATCGCAAAATCAATCCGAGCAAGCAGAACTCCTCATAAAATTTAGTAAGTTGTAACCGCTAGGCTATATTGGTACAAAATTACACAGAAATTATCGTCATCTACTAAGGCATAGCCAACATTTTCCCAAGAGGAGCACTTCCATTACTAGTGTCTTTGTTTAGGTGTATTTGTTGACCCTTTCTCTCCTAAGATCAAACCAGTAATTCTCCATACTGCCTACCATATCATACTTATGATGTCAGTTTGCTATTGGATTAACTAATAATCCCCAAATCAATATTGTATTGATGTTGACTTCGGAGTAATTCTGTCTTGGTCACTTGAGAGTTATAGGGTTATAGATTATTACCTTTTTGTACTGGTGGACTGGTGAGGATGTTTCATGCCTAATATGCACCTTACCCCAACCCCATAAAAAAGATGAGAGAAATCTGAAACCATAGGGGGTTTTTTAGTCTCATTTCGAAAATGGAAGATTAGCGGGGCTCGAGACTAATGGTAGCCAACTAGCCACGGACTAGTAGAATTTCAGTTTTGCCTAGTGGTTTTCCATTTCCACTAGCCAGTTTGGTTAGTAAGCAAACTAAAACTGTTATAAAATCTAAGTTGTCACCAGCCACTTGGCTAATAGGTTGAAAAGTTAGTGTCGAGCCCTGGATTAGTCCAAATACCTCTTTTTAAAAGATCTACCATCCTTCACATCAGAGCAGAATTCTAGCAAAAGTGGAACATTCTTATGAATAAAGGCTGATAGTTTCGAAAGAAACTGTTTGGGGCTGCGTCGGTGGGGGTAACAAAGTAATTTGGATATATCAACAAAGTTGAAATGGTAAATTGGCCACCGTAATGATTACAAAAGCTGACGTTTCGAGCGTTAGCCCTTCACTGGAGGGCATAATTATCTTACACAACCTAAGAATGGAACATTCTTAGGTTGTGTAAGATATGTTTGAGCTATGCCTTTGAGTAAGGATCATGTGATCTTGGTTGCCAAAATAAAGATGGAAATATTTCATCAGGATTGTTTGCTTTAACTCCTGTTTTCTTTTCTTTTGCAATTTCATAGGTGATGAAAGACAAGAAAGAATTTTGCTTGCAGAGAAGGAACCATCACAGATCATGCAAGAAGTTGTAAAAAATGCAGCAGCAACATCCAGCTCAGAGTAAGTAATTTTATTATGATGCAAAAAAGGTTCAATTACATTAAAGACCTTCCAGCAGCCTACTAAATCTGGAAAATTATTATTGCAGCCGTAATGATGGATGCATTCATTTGTTGTGATCAAATGACGTGGATAAAGTCTGATGAAACCAACCCTTTGGTCCTACGAGTAACCAGCATCTTATTTCTCCCTTCAACATCACACCTGAATCACACATTAAGATCAGGAGAATAGCAGAAATGATCACAAACTAAAGAAGCTCTTCATTGTTAAGACAAATTCTCCGTGTAAGCACCTTAGGAAATGTATAGAGAACCGTGTGAAGAATATGGATACTGATGTTGGAGAGTAAAGGGTTAAGGCATCTGCATATATATAATTAATTGTCACAATTTGCTAATTAATTTTTAGTTTTATTGTCATTGCTTCTCTCATTCATTGTTCAAAAAAACAAGCTATTCACCAGATAACCATGATTATGTATATAAGGATCATCATTATCACTACTGACTCATTTTTCTTTTCCTACAGTGATGAAAATTTATGACAAGATGAAAGTACCTGAGGTGTCACTTGAAACCCTTTTAAAAGCATTATGCCAAATTGTCATTTTCGACATTGGGAAAAAAAAAACAGTACATGTGAGCTTGTCAAATGACAATGCAATTAATGCAATCCATTTTCATGAGCCAAACTGCATAGTGGTCAACTTGTGTACAATTCCTTTATGTGCCAGTTGTAACTGTTCATGTATAAAAGCCATAAGATGCCACAAACTAAATAAATGCAATTTTATTCATATTTTCCTCTTTTTTCTCATTATTTCATGCCAGCTAAATTTAGACATCTGTATCATGTTGAGTACATCATTCTGAAAGCGAATATACTTCTAAGTGCTCTCTTGGCTTGTGACTGAATGTTCTCGTCAGTGTGATCTAACAGTCGCATTAGTTCTCCATACAATACATTTAGATGCTCTGTGATCACAGCTTGTTGTTGCTATATGAGATAGACAAGAATTCAACAACCACCCAATTAGTCAGTTTCTCCTAAATCCATTTTAGTCCTGTAGACAATTAATCAATTAGTAAGTCCATCAGTATGTGTGTCTATCCATTTATCTTTATAACATAACCAAACTAAAGCGCACGCTCTGATTGGTCAATTTAGCGTCCCCCATTTGCCCATTGGTGTACGCTGCTGACGTGAGCAAATGCAAAGACTACTTTTCCGCGCACACTTGTTTTTTTCTGGTCGCGTAAGATTTGTTAAATAAAAGGGAACTCTTTAGCTACAATGTATCAATGTCATGTTATAAAACAAATGGTAAACACCACAGCGTACACTATTGAGTTATGGATGCACTTGGGAGGTTTGCTAAGCACTCAAGAAGCCAGAGTCGCTCTCGGCTATTGCCTCGAGCGACTCTTATGCTTCTTTCGTACTTAGCAACCTCCCGCGTGCATCCATAACTCAATAGTGTACGTTGTGGTGTTTACCATTTGTTAAGTGTTGTCAGTCAGTCAGTCAGTTGATCAATCAGTCGGTTAGTCAGTCCATATGACAGTCAGTCAGTTAGTCTTTCTGACATTCAATCAGTCATGTAGTCAGTTATTTAGTCACTCACTCACTCATTTACTCACTCATTTACTCACTCATTCACTCTAGATCGCTATGCATTATTTTTTGTCTGTTGTTTCTTGTGCAGTAGTGCTAATTGTAGTAAAGTTTTGCGTGCGCTTTCTTTGTGTCATTGTTGCGTAGCATGTATTTAAACCATATTGTTCACTGTAGTTTGTGCAGTTTTTTCCAGTGCAGTTTTGTCAAGTGTAGTTTGTATATTTGTTCTTTTTGCTTTGTGCAGCTTGTTCACCACCAGGCAGGATTCACAACATTGCAACAAATGTAAGTGTAGTATGTAGTTTTCATTGTCGTTTTCTTTGTAGCTTTCCTTGGGTATTTAGTGTAGTTTATATTATAAAAGGTTTTCGTTTGATGTTTTATTTGCAGTTGTAATCGTGTTGCTTTGTGTCGTGTCGTTTTGCCGTGTTGAAATTGTGCTTGTTAGAATTGGTCACCCATGGCAGTAATACACTCTTTTAGCCTTTCAGTCAGCCAGTCACTGACAGCCACTCAATATAGGATTGACTAATTCAATAAATCAATATGTCATGGCCAATCTGGTTTTGACTTTTTTTATTTTTAGATTTTCAGAACTAACTTGAAATCATTATTTTAATAATGTAGCACTTCTTGAATTATTTACCTCTGTGTAACCATCTGGACTAGAAAGTAAGTTGGCCACAATTGTTACAGCTCTAAGAACTATGTCATCTTGGTTGTCTGCAAGCATGAATGTCTGCAAAATCAGCAGTGGCTGCAAATGGAGATAACAGATTCAGTTGTGCACAACTTCTATAATATGAGAAGAATATTTCTGTTTAAAAATCAACTTGAAAAACCTTCAATCCCAGTAATCGTTCCAGATTAGTTGTATTACAAGACAAGTTCACCAACAATCGCAGAACCTCTTTCTGGGAAAACATAAATACAGTGAAAGAATTAATTACACACAATGTTAGATAAATACATTTTGTTTTCACTAACAGGGATTGTACAAATGTTTAACTTAATTGTGTCCTAGTTGAATTAGTACTATACATTCCTAAATATAGGCATTTCCAGAAGTACTCAGTTTCTTTTTCTTTCCTTTTTTTTTTTTTTTTCTTTTTCTGGCTGCTTCTCTTGTATTAAGGAATATCAGAACCTGGGGATTTTAAACCTTAGTTTACAGCCAACATCAGTCTGTATATTCTCCATACTGTTCTCTATACATTTCCTTGGAAGATGACAAGGAGAATTCATTTAACATGTTATTAGTCCCTTTGTTAGTGATCATTTCCTTAATTCTCGTAACCCTAATGTGTGATTCAGGAGTGATATTGTAAGGAGAAATTAGATGCTGGTCATTCTTTGGGGTCAGTGTGTTTAGTTGATGTAACATTTATCTTGCCTAGGTGAAATAATTAGCATTACTCTAATAACAGGAGAGGGCAGGCTGAAGTTCACCATTATTTTAATTCATTTTCTTTTTGATACCTGTATTTTTTCTGAATGAGAGTGACATAGGATGTCAAAAAATGCTTGGGCTCCTGTCATCACCTCTTCATGGGCAATATTTGTTGCAGACAAATTAACTATGAGTTTTAAATGCTCAGTGATCACATCATCATCATCAATAACATCACAGTATTCAAGATTCTTTATAATTTCAAAGACACTGTCCTGGAAAAGAAAAGGCACCTCAGTTAACGCAAACAAGGTCTGTATATTAAAAGAAACAGTCAAACAAACAGATACAGAAAAAAAATAATCTACAGTCATAGTCAATGTAAAATTTAAACAGCCATGAAAACCTGACACTGAAGAGTCAATACAAGAAAGTTTGAAAGCATTGATTTGTTCTTAACGAAAAAGTCTGAGTAATACCTTTAAACATTCTTGATTTTTTTCATTCATTGCCAAGTTGGACAACACTTGTACAGTCTTGATGATGATGGGTTTCTTTGGATGAGTTAAAAGGGCCACAAGGCGTGAGAGACCTCCACACTCCCGAATAATGTTCTAAAGATACCATGTAAACAAAAATTGTCTGCCTTAATAAACAACCTTCTGTGAGCTTACACTAAAGCATATGCTTGGTGGATCTAGATGCTTGTCAATCAAAAAATCTCAAAACCAAAGGATTGCATATTTTTACTCAGAGTATTTAATATCTACTAGTCCTGAAATATTTCCTGGCTTATTTAGGTCATAGTGTTAAAATGTTTTTTGTGTTTTAGGAATCAAAGTTTGCCTCCATCCCTTGTTTTAAATATTCCTGGAGCCACCCCTGATACGGGTGTCCTTTTCAAAGATCGATGGTGGAGATTGTGAAGGTTAAGGGATCATTAGGGTGTGCCTTTGAAATGTAAGTACCTGAAGTAGCTGACTACAATCTCAATCAAAATATAGGTTTTTTCAGGATGGGGAGTAGAGGGGGAGAGAGACTGGGCAAGATTCCCAGAGAGAGCATCTGTGAAACACTTTCCTCATCCACGGATCCGTTAAAATCTTAATTCTTTCACAATCGCGAGTGATTCTTCCAAAAATTCGACACAATATGAGGCAGAGAGGTTAACAAGTAGAGAGGTAAACGGAAAATTAATTATGATTATTGGAACGTTCGACAGAAGATCTTGGCTTATTTTTCCTCGAAAAACTTCTCAATTCTGGATCGAAAGGGAGGATCGATCTTCATCTAGAAGCATTCCGCCAGTGAAATCCCTCTCCTGCGGTCCTTGCATGCATATATAGGCCTCTAAGGATTGATATTGTATCTAGCTGTTGTAGCGACAGAGAAAAATCTTACGGTTCAGCGTACTACCTGGTTTGTTGTGAACGCTGAGCAGTTCAGAAGCGCAATAAGAACCTTCTCTAACATATGATCCTCTACTTTTTCAAGAATTTCCAGTAGAGAAGATATCGTTCCTTTGGTAAACTCCCCATGTCCGTTCTCTTTCAGTATTTCCGCCAGCTCTTGGTCGATCGCAAAGGAACTTCCACTCTCATTGTCGCGTGCTTTGAACAACGATTCAAAAATATTTGTACTTCTTCCTTTCCTCTTCTTTCCCTCGTATTGTCTTAGGTAATAAAGACCAAATGTTAATGCAAGAGCTGCACACGCAGAGCAAACTGCATAAAGAACGATTCTCGCTGTCTTTCCGTTGGACTCCATGTTGGTTTTTTTTGTTATGTATGTCATATAACACCAATATAGCTTCCTGTTATTTGTAGCCTCGCCTTCCCATGTAAGGTGCGGTAGCTAAGGAAAATATGGAGCCGGTATTGGGAACTTTTGAACAAGATGACTGGGAAAATGATGATCGATTCGACGAATCAAAGCTTCCATCTTCAGGTTATGAATATCTTCGGAGAGTTCAGTAAGTAATAAGATTCTAAATATCTTTTTTTTTGTATTATTTAAATCCCTTATGCATGGCTTTTTGGATACAAAATTCTGCACCTGTCTGCATAGCTGTCGTCAAGGAGGCTGAAAATTTTAACTCTCAGGATCTGATTGTTAATTCTCCTCTTTACGTGATGAGTGGCGATAATTTTTTGTTAGATCAAGATAACTTCCATGGGATGAGTTTGAGCATTCTTGTTATCAGGTTGTTGGATAATGTAAGGATATTATATGGAGAAATTACATGTTAATCACTTCTGAATGTAAAATTGTTAAAGGAAGGCAATTTTACTTCCAGTTTTGAAGCTATGCAGTGCCCTGATGTTGTAGTTGCCAGTCTTGACACCAACAGCTTCCAAAGCAAGCAGACTGTTCATGTGAATGAGGTACTTCTTGCCCAAGCAAATGATGTTAGCAATTCATGTTTTGATTTTGAAGTTACCTGACACACAGGTGCACAAAGTGACTGAAAAAAAAAATTTGATCAGCATGATTAGATTTTAAAAGGAACCAAATTTATAGTGAAATATCTGATAATTGTTTACTGTATCCTGGGCTATTTTGGGGGGGATCGGATAATCAGTAAAGAGATGTGAAAACTGAATAAGTCACTGGTATGAAAAAAATAATAATAAAAGTGGAAAAAATTACCACCATTTCGTTCCTTGAGTGTGACTAATCAGATATAATACATAGTTTACTGAATAACAACTCCTGAACAAATAGCACTGCAGTTCAGGCTTGTTGGACTACAGCCTACTGATCAGCAGTGCCACCTGTGAAAAACACTCCTGTTGTACAATAGGCATCATACAGACAGATAGTAAGAAAAGAGTGTGTTGTATTGTACATCTAAATTTAATGAAGTTAGTAGAACTTTTGAGACATCTAACAAACATTTTATTCCGCTCCTTTCATAGTTGTTTGTTGTGTTCTGTTTCTCAGAGATCTGGTTGGTCACCGGCTCCAGCTGGATTTGCCCCCTCAGCTGATTGGCAGACGGAACAAGCTGCAGATTTTGCCGATATAAGACAAGTAGGTGCTTACAATTAAATTCTGCAGCCTTCTCATCGGCCGAAAATTATATAACTCTCTTGCCATCTAAAACCACCAAAATCAATGGTGAGTTACAAAGCTTTCTCACTGCACAATATGAAGAAATTTGCTCTCTTCTCTTCACCTCGGTTCCCTTCACTTCAGACTGAGTTGTAGCATAGTGTATCCACTATGTGCCTCTCTTTGATGTTATAGTTGTTGATTCTTTGATTTTGTATGCCCATGACCTTGTGTGGTGAAATTCTTGTCACAGTATCCTGTAGTTATTGTTGTTTTGTTTTACTTTCCCTTTTTTAGCTTCTCTAGTTTTTGTTTTCTGGTGTAAGATTGTGAACATTTCTTTCAACCTATGCAATTTGAATAGCTGAGTGAGAATACCAGATGATTTTGAAAAGGTATTTTACAGGAAACTTTTTTACTTACAGAGATGGTGTCGAATACAAACTTCTTTTTTTCTTTCATAATTTTTAGAAACTTGCTCATCATCGATCAAAGCCTGGAAAAGAGTATTCCACAAAGCTAGCTTTGGTAAATCCATGTACACCACAATTTTTTAAATCATAAAACCATTTACATCCAGAAGGGCTTGACATTACAGAAGGGTTTGTCAATTACAATTTCAAATGAATAGATTTTTCAGCAACTAGGTACAATAATAAGAATTTAAGACTTGAGGGTGTTATCCTGATCAAACTTGAAGTTCTTTTATCAAACTATATACGTTAGAAATTTTGTGCGGTGAGATGAGAGAATCGCTAATTAGTTCATAGAGATGATGTACACATTTCTTTGTCTTGAGTGTTTGCGCTTATGGAAGACTAATCTCACTAATTATTTTCTAAAATGTCCTTCAATTTTGTAATTCATACTTTTTATTATTTGTATGCCATACAGCCAAGGAAATCTGATTCTATGGGATGGTGTCAATTTTGTCTTGGAGAGCAGATTGCAATGAAAATATTTGGCAGGTGATGGTTTTGTAATGAAGTGTAACCAATTTTCACAGCATGTAGTTACTTCTGATGTGATACTTAATATATTGGCTGCATACAGCTAGTGTTTTTTACAGGGGATGAGGTCAAGAGTTGCCAAAAGTAAACCATAGGTGAACCTGTATTATCAGGGGTCACCCATGGGAAATGGCAGAGTGAATGCATGTTTAAAACAGTTTGACTTCTTAATACAAGTTGACTAGTGAATTACTTACGTGAGGTTGGTGTGTGATGTTAGTCCCACAGTTTACTGGCATGTTGGAGTATGATTCAGCAAGTCACACCAAAAAACTGAATTTTTTTTGATTCATGTTCATGTAGCTTTATAGTTAGACACATACATGTCTGATTGATTTTTTCACATATTTTTCTGATTCCTTGATACTATATCAGAGACATAACATAAAACTTTGTTTCTACTGAACAGGAAAGATAACAAGAAAACTGTTAATGATGAGAAAGCATTGGAAGGCAGCAATTTACAAACCACCAATCAGGTCCATTAATCTTCTTGTTGTTACTTAACTTATTAATTTGTGAATAGTTTAACCCTCGAGAGTGACTAGTATCTAATTGCTTCTTGCAGTATGACGCCCCTGAATCAATTGTTAAGGGCACCAGAATAAGGAGAAATGATTGCTAACTAGAGAAGCCCTTTGCAAAATGAATTCACCTTGTCAGCCCCTTAAGAAATGTATAGAGAACAGTATAGAGAATTTGCATACTGATATTTGGGTGTAAAGGGTGAAAAGGAAGTTACCATTGACAAACAATTGAATTAAATCATACATTGCCCTGTGAGTGTTAATGAAAAACAAACCAATCCTCACAAGTGAAATGCAATTGTAGAAATTGTGGGAAATTTAACTTTAAAAATTTAGGATGTGGCTCTGATTATTTAATGCACTTGACATATTCTATCGAGGAAATCTCTTTTTATTAGTAGGAACTCGCTCAATATTGAATGGAAACTTAAAACAGTACTTTGCTGGGGTAGAAATTGTTGGCAAAACTAAAATGAATGAAAAAGAGAAAAAAATATGGTCACAGATGGAGAAAATTCTTGTGATACTCAAGGTGTTAGTTGCACTTATAACACATTTTATTGAAAAAATTATTATTAAATATCCTATTGCAGGAGGGAACACCTCCTCTACTGAGTGTTCTTCTTCAAATTAATCAAGTGAGTCAAAACGAGATCAATATTGTAGATTTTAACTTTGTAGTAAAGACTATGTTGACGTCACGCCATCACCCAACGAAACTCTTGCGTGACATCCGAAAGAATGTAGGAGCTTGAGATGTTTTTCGTCTTGTCACGAGCGTGAGTCCCCATGAGTGATCGAACCATGAGGAATCAGAAATTTTTGTTTGTCCCACGCTCGTGGCTACGTGGCTAGACGAAAAAAACATTTCCATATTTCTTTACCGAGTTCAAAATTTGATATCTTTCTTATTGTTTACGATCCTTAAGTATAGCTGGGAAGAAGACCCCGAGAAACTGGGATACACTGTGAAATTACAAGCTATTTGAATGGTGCTCTTGCCCGAACTTTGTTTTGTTTTAGTCGAAGTTACATTTACTTTACAGGCGACTTTGCTGCAAGTTTTAGAATATCACGTGGAATGGCTGGAAGAAATCGGATTTTCCCATGACCAGGTATTGATAGGCCTGTCCAAATTTGGACAAACAGGTGTAATATAATCGGAATGGTCTAACTAGCGATTTAATAGTAAAAAAAAAAGAGATTAATGGACTTTTATTTCGTTTGTGGCATTTAAATTTGTCTTTATCCGTGATGATAAGACGGGCTTGACTTCGAACGGTCTGTCTTGAAATGTGTGGGTTTTACAATCTCGCGCGTTCCACACGGAACTTTAATGAACCGCTATACTTCCGCAATTTCTGCACGTACTTCAAGCCATGCAGCCAACGATATCCTTGTAAAGTAGGCGATAGACTGTTTTTCAATGTATTTTATTGCCTATTTACACAGTAGATTGCTATCCTCTCCTCGAAACATGTGTCTATCCCGTGCAAAATACGATTTTTCATCAGCGAACTATATGATGTGGCAAAGTCTTCGTAATTTTAGAATCGTTCTTGTAAACCTTAATCCCTTATCTTGAAACATTTTTTTAGAGGTGCATTTTTTTTCCCTAGGGGAAGTGGTTTTATGCTCTACTTGTTTGCCTGGAGAAACCACTTTTGCCAGAAACCACCTCATTGCTTCGCACTCTCGCCAGACTCTGCGCAACCCTGAGAGCTTCGCTGGTATGTACACGTGAACTGTTAAAAGTCAAAGTTACATAACCTAACGCTAATCAGCGTGTTTATGACTGAGGTTCGTAACAAAATCCAATCTACGAAAACAGTCTTCCTCGTTCGTTAGACAAGTGCTGCTAGTTTTTCTTAACCAAGTTTTCGCTTTTGCTCTCTTTCTCTGAAACCGCGATGGCAAGTCATTAAATATTTCCATTCGGATCTCAACGCAATTCACATACTTTATGCTTAAGTTGAAGTATGGTGCTGTAAGAGACGGTGAACACATCTGCATTTGCGAAATTCTAACCAAAGATATCATTTCATTTTTTAAGCGACGTCTTCCTCGTAATTAGTCTTCCTGTAGTAATTAGCCGTTCTTTGTGATTCATGCGCTGTCGATTTGTCGACAATTAAGATTTGAAATCCTTCTCGTTTCTTGTCCAATTGGCCGGTTATTTTATAATTTTACGAGACATCTGACGCAAATGGTGCAATCTTGCCTTACAATTTTATCAGCTACGTATGCAAATCGAGGGCTGTGGCACTGTTTCTGTCTCTTGCGTTGCCGAGGGAACCTAACCTGTTTTTTGATCCGGCTCAACAGGTCTTTTATTCCACGGACTAAATCGTGTTCTCCAAACGTGGTAGAGTTGTGATAATTTTTTGTTCCATCGAAATGAGATGAATGTATTTTACTCGAGTTGATCTCAAATTTCTCGTTGCCTATGACTGTTGCGCCATATAGAGGAGGATATAATATAGTGACGTAGGCAGGCATGCATGTGATCCTTCGCCTTAAAAGCGAGAATTCAGGCAGTGATTGCATAAGCAAAAGAAAACCACGTTTCGGCGTGTTTGTTGTGTGTCGGCTGTTATAGTTACACCTCAAGGCGGGAACATACTTATTTCCAAATGAGTTTGGTTGTGCACGTTGAGAATTTTCCAAACTTTTCGTCAGAAATGCAAGAAATTCGACGGTTAGACAAATAGAATACCCTCCGTAAACTTGCTGCTAAGGATAGTGACGCAGTCAAGACCGACACGAACGAGAAAACGCCAAGTCCAATACAGCACTGCAGTTGGTGTCTTTAAAACGCTTCAAAAACCGCCGGCGGTTAACAAGTCAGCCCATGGCAAGGGCGCCCCAAGTCGTTGAGCGACGCGATCGTAAAGCGCACCTTGTCCGTCAGTTGATCCTGCTATCCTGGAAGGGCGACGCAAGACTAACTGAGAATGGACAAAAACTCAGTAACGAGAGACTCGCGCTGTTGTACGAAGACATTCTCGAATCGCTGGATTTTTACTCCATCTTCCATGAAAGGAGAAGGCAAAATGAAGAACTGTATCGTATCGGTGAGATATACTCGTTTTTTCAAGGCGAGTTTTCATTGATAGACTTACGGGTGTTTAGCTCTTCCGCAAACTCCACTTTTTATATATTTTTTGTATCATAAAAAAAATTCTACTATTTTTTTCATTGCTGTCGTTTTTAAAAGAAAATAGGCATCAAATGGCACATTACAAAAGCAAACTAGCTTTCCTTTTGCAAAATTTTACCTTTTCAAATTCATGCTTATCTCTTTTTTCCTTTTTTTGTTTCGATGTCATCAATAAATTTCAAGTCATATACATGGCGACTTCTGTTATCGGGGAAACTCTGACACAACTAAACTCTCATATAACAGAACACAACCTTCCAGTTTCAAAGCGGGTCGTTTGAACTGTTCAGGGCTTAGAATGTACGCAACCGATATGGAAATTTCTCGCAAGGAGGCCGGAATTGTTGGGTAAGTTACCTTGCAAGGTGTTTGATTTCCCGAAGGATGTTAAGGTTCGGCAGGAAAAGCAATCAAGACAGGAAATCAAGGATTATTTGAGGAAGGGGGTTCAATAAACGTGCTGATCGAACTAACAGACCGTCAGATATCACTAACCGAGTGTCGTTCGACATTTGGAAAGGTCGTAGGATTTGGGATTTTGGGGCAGTAAAGCAGGCTTTTTCGTTTGCTCCATCAAAAAGCACAAAAAAAATTGTCTGTCAGCATTATTTCCACTATAAGAGAATTCTTCATTTCCTGTAGATATGCGTGAAAAGAAAAAGAAACAAACTTGAAAAAAAATTAGCATTATTCTATATAGGCATTTGTATTAAGTGAGTAAGCAAGTAGGTAACTTTATTTAATGAGTCTGACACATGACAGTACTAATTAACTGATGACTCAGTGGCCCTCAAATAAAACAAAACAAAAAATATATTATATGATGTATATAGAAATAAATCCAAAATATATAAAAAGGTCGATTTAAAAATGTAAAAATATAAAATATAAAAAGGTTTGTATACAATAGTTGAATTAAAAATGAAGAATTATTATTCATTATTTATATAATCCATAAGCTACTGTAGATGGAGGATGCCAAGACGTAAAAGTCATATGGTAAAACTAAGAAAAGCGAATACCTAGTGTGTTCAAACATATAGATATCTATAATCAAATTAAGTTTATGCCAATGCAATACGTTTATGTCAGTTATATGTAGCGATTTTATGAAAAGTGTGCATTGCTCTCAATAACTTGTATGATAAATTTGCTAAATAAACGAACTTTTTTGCCAGCTTATGTTGATCAGTGACTTATTTCCTAAACTGAATCCGTCACGGTTGATTTGAGAAATGTCCCAGGGAAAGCTGCTGTTTACTAAAATAAGTCAAAACTGGTGAATATTTTTGGTTGTAATTTTCGCCGATTGTTTTTTTTTTTTTAATCATTTTTATTTAGTATGTACAGACTTCTTGGTAAATAGTCTGGCATTCTCTTTTTGCGATGCAAGGTCGTTTCCATGACAACTGCCAAAGTAAGACAGCAACGTCACAACCGGTTACGCTATCGCATGCGGTTGGGCGCTTGATATTTCTGTAAAGAGTGGGAGAAGTCGTTCGTTCATCAGAGTAACATGCTGTTGTAGATTACATACCCGATTTATTCTCCCAATCTCAAGGTACAATGAAAAAGCCCTTTTAATTGGTGATCAACTCCAAGACTAAAATAACCCGGCTCGAGAAGAAATTCACGCTAAAATCAAGGAAAGTCTGCGAGTTTGGTGATTTAAATCCACCAAATCCCTAATTTCCTGGGGAAATTTAACGATCCCAAGACGCTTTGCTTTTGCAAATCGTACCCAGACCGCCGCTCGTTTAGAAAATGGCGGTTAACCAAGGGGGTTGAACGACAGTCAAAAGGAAGGAGTTGGAGCCTTTCCCTGCCCCCTCCCCTGACCGTTTTCCCTAACTATAAATCAAACATGGCCGGTCAAATGAACGATCGCGAGCTTGTAAAGTTAACGAACTGATTCTGAGCTGTTTGAAAGGTTGGAAGCTAAAAAATGACCATGAAAATTGTTTTGGTTTTTCTTTTTTTTTCTTCATAGGAGTCACCCTATCACCAGTTGGTAACACCGCTGAATTTAATGATCACGCTTGTGTCAAGGTATGACACTTATTTGTGCAATTTTTGCTTGAGCGCCAACATTGCAACCACAGGATTAACGTCATTACTTGGAGCTTGAGTGGTGAACATGTAATTTCTCCCTATAATATCCATACATTATCCAGTTAACAGGTAATGAGAATACTCAAACCTATCAGGTATTAGGGAGAAGTTGTTATCTTGTTGTAATACCAAATTCTCGTAACTAATTTACAAGGAATCGTGTAGTTGGTAGAGGGGAGAGTTGACAATCAGATCTTGGGAGTTAAAAGGTTGAAGGCGAAAGATAAAAAGTAAAGAGAACGAGCGACGGTACGGTATTGAAAGGGGGTTGGTGTTAAGTACTTCTATAAGGGGAGTTGTCGGCTGGTCTAAACCAATGGGTAAGTTGTAAGAGATTTTAGATTGGGTGTAATTTAGTTTCCAGGACGGCTTACTGTTTTAGGACACTTGCCTAAGTTTTTTGTAAGTTGTCACCATTTTTCTTGTTTCTCAGATACTTTGGTCAGAGTGACCTAGCGGATCCTGGATAACTTCACACCTCTTTTTAAAAACATAACAAAAACAATTGCAGAGGGAGCTGAGTAAAGGAGAAGGATTTGGAAATGGTTCCCGAACGTTTCTCCCAACTGGAGCTGAGATTCGCACGATGTTCGCCATGGTGATTATATCCTCGAAGAAACAAGTTTCATAGGTAGTTCTGCCTAGTTCTGTAAAGAATACTTGACGACTTTCCACTCGGCTACTAACGATGTTGAAAAGAACTTGACCAGGTTCCTTGTTGCTTTGCGTCTTTTCAGATCATCAGTGACACATTCGGTTATGTTAAAACAATTCCTAGTCGAACTTTCATGAAATTTTGGTTCTATGTTTTGTCATTTGGAAGAATTGACTTAAAGATTTTAGAGACAAAAAGCTAAAGGTCATGTAAAACCTAAATGATTCAGATAGTGACAAATTTTTATTTTGAGAAGAACACTCTTTGATTACAATTTTAAGCTGTAACAGTTAAAGATATTTATTCCAATTTATAACGCTGAAAATATGCAAAAGAAACATTACCGATTCGTAATATCGACCCAAGCCTGAACTGAGAAAAATTAAAACCGGACGAGGTCAAGAAAGACAAAAATTAGTCCCTTTATAAACCATAGAACAATAAGCATAAATCGAAGTTATGGACTGATTTTAGTTTGAAACGTAGCTTGTAAAACAGGTAAAGAACAAATCTTTGTAAACTTCCTTTTTCAAGTAGATAGAATCACGCCTTTAGAAATGAGTTACAAATAATAAAAAGGCGCATTTACGCCGTCATATTTTCTTCCTTGATACCTGTAACCTCATCAACGTTCGTTGCGTTTTCAGGGCTGTTTCCTAGCAGTATCTTTGAAGAATCCGTGTCATGTTTGGAGCTTCTTTGAGTGACTTCAGTGCTGGCTTGACTTCCATCCTTTTTATTTTTATCCTCTTCTTTCTTGGTTCCAGACAAACGTCTCCGCCATTTCTGAAATCGACTCATCTTACGCTCTGTTTTGTTGGGGTTTTCAGAGCCCCCACTTCCTGTGCTTTCACTTCCATCAAACTCAATTCCTGATTGCACGCTTCCGGTGTCAAATGACTTTCGGTGGGATTTGTGCCCAGCCTTACTCTCCTTGCGTCCCTTTTTGTGGCTTTCTTTGACTTTACTTCCTCTGCGCTCACTTCCGGTAAATTCACTTTCCGCTAGTTCAATTATCGCGTCATGTGAATTCCGGTGCAATCTGTTTACGATGTTGGCAAATGATTTGTTTTCATCCGTGCTTTTTTTTCGTAAGCTGCGCATGTTCCTGCTGTCTGACTTGCTTTTGTAGCTATTTCGGCTTTTACCCACGTCAAATTCACTTCCTGTTTGCACACTTCCGGCGTCAATGGACTCTCGGTGGAATTTTTCGTTGAAGTACTGGATAGTTAATTCTTCACCCGTGCTTTTCTTCTGCAAGCTACGCATGTTTTGATCGTCTGATTGAAAAAGAGGCCCCAATACTGCTGCACCAGAGAGAGAATGATCCTCAGCAGAGAGCGGCGTCAATGTGGGATCACTATTCCTTTGGATATCCAGATGGGATTCTAAGGCTGGACAAGCGCATGCGCCCTGACATCCGTTGCTGCAGTAGGCAGTGACTGCTTCTGTTTCAATGTCACTGCTTGAAGCTTTGTGTTCTTCCTGGAGGAACAAACGGCAGTATATGAAGACCTTAAGTGTGCTGTTAGCTTTTACAACGCAAAACGTATGTGTAATTTTTTGAAATTATTTGTGCGCGTAACTAAGTACAGTTTCTAATAACGTGTCAAACCAACTGGTTCAGAAAATTAGGTTTTCGTGGAACTTATGCAGGAGCTCTTTCAAGGGATGTTGCCAATTAACAGGCCGACCAACAGGAATCGAATGACTGCACTTTGTCGATGCAACGGAACGGAAAAGACAGGTCACATCTAATGAACCCGACTAGAGTCTCGTGGGTAGGAATAAAGCAAAGGTAAACAACGGCAAGAAGACAAAATCAGGCGAAAAATTATAAAAGAAAAAAGCGATACGTTACGGTTGTTGTAACGTTAGTCATTGTCTGTGACTGAAGTGATTTTCAGGCGTGAATGGCACTGAGGTGAATCATGAGTTTTCACAGGAATTAAACACAGCCCAGTTACTCTTGAAGCGTTTTTCTTTAAAGAGTGAGGTTCAATTCCTCGTGTTGGACTCATTTTTGGTCGTCCTGTGCTCGTGCAAGTTATTCTTCTCTTATTTTTGCTGCAGTTTATCCAATTACGTATAGACCATAAACAACCGCTCTTCCGTCACTTCGTGAAATATGCGGTATTTTTCGGTTTTGGTGCGTAATGTTTCTCTCTAAACAGTACTCTCAAGCACCTTTTCAAAATTTCTACAGGAATACATTATATGCAAACTGTTCAAATTTACCTCGACAGTGTTTAGTTCATTGGATGGACCAGTTGACGGAGGCGTCAAGGGTATCTGCGGCTCAGCGTTTGCAGTCTTTGTCAATTTTTCTTTGTACAAGACTATAAGAGAAACGATTAAAATATGTGCAAAGCCAAGAGTTACCACCACCGACGACTCTAATTCGCCGAAAAACAAGGACAATATGTTTGACAGTGACATTTTGGTAGTCACATTTTGATTGCTGCCCTCGTTAAACGTTACGTCATAAAGATTTATTTTACGTCGTTCGTAATTTATGCTAGATGTGCGCGCGCTACACGCGTGAATTCCCGTTCCATTCTTCGCGCGGTTGCAACTCCGGCATTGGATGATTAAAAAATGCGACAAAAGAAAAAAAGGTTAAAAATTTTTTTATTTTACTATTATGGCTTTGCAAAAAGTCTTCCAGTTTATGTTTGACTTTCATTTCTTTTTACTTTGCATCTACCTAGTCTGACATAGTCTCCCATAAGATATTAGCTTTCACATACGCGTCAAAACCTAGTCTAGTCTATATTATAATTACAAATTATTACAGATCACTTTCCTAAAAACAGGCCTCGTGTCGGAGCTGGGGGCCAGTCATAGTTATTGTCTAAGAACCTTTATTTGAGGGGGATATCATGTGGTTTTGAGGGAGAACAGAGAGAGGATCAGTCGTCCCGACAGAGCCTGTGCTCGTGGGGGAGGGGAGAGGGGGTGGTAATTTGAAACTCGCCTGGCTGTGTCAGGGAATTCGAACCGAATGTATTAATTCTTTCAAGCGGATTGCAAGTGTTTTATCTTTTAATATAGAGGCGTTTAAAGGTGAAATGTTTACTTCGCGAGCGATTGGCTCATGAGGAAAGGTCTACAAGGGTTAGGGCTTAAACCTTGCTTAATAAGTAGAAAGTCACGGTCCCTCATTTTGCCTTTTACCAAAACATTGACCATCAACTCCGGCCGGAACTTTGGTTGGGTCATGTTTGAACACAATTTTGGTCCCGAAGCACAGGAATTAGAACAAGCCAATATTCAAAAGTTCAAATGTCCAAAGGGGTTACGTGGGCGAATGATAAAGCTTCAAATTGATCCACGCAAAACAAAAACGTATTTCTTAGGGAACGGAGTTGACTTGTTATTCAGAGACTTTTGTCGTCAAAGAACCTTCACTTTCCAAATGATGATTTTTTTATTTGAGAGAAGGAATTAATTTAAAAGACCACATTTTCAGGGAGAGTGTCTTTGTATGTTTGTTTGTATATAGACATCAAAGCAGACCCTTCCAGCATTATTTTCTTCGGTCCAACC